TTAAGCCGTAAGCGTTCAAAATAGTTCAAAAATGTTCTAATCTGCATATGGTTAAGCCGTAAGCGTTCAAAATAGTTCAAAAATGTCCTAATCTGCGTATGTTTAAGCCGTAAGCGTTCAAAATAGTTCAAAAATGTCCTAATCTGCATATGGTTAAGCCGTAAGCATTCCAAATAGTACAAAAATGTTCTAATCTGCATATGGTTAAGCCGTAAGCGTTCCAAATAGTTCAAAAATGTCCTAATCTGCATATGGTTAGGCCGTAAGAGTTCCAAATAGTTAAAAAATGTCCTAATCTGCATATGGTTAAGTCGTAAGCGTTCCAAATAGTTCAAAAATGTCCTAATCTGCATATGTGATGGTTAAGCCGTAAGCGTTCAAAATAGTTCAAAAATGTCCTAATCTGCATATGGTTAAGTCGTAAGCGTTCAAAATAGTTAGCTTGATTTTAATAATTGCACAGCTTCATTTTAACCCAAGAAAGAAATTGAGTTTTTGCAACGAATTGTAATCCCTTTATATTTAAAACCTGTAATTGTGTAAACCTTTGATATTTCAAAATTAGATTATTTCATCTAGCAGAATTCATAATTTGACAAATCTAAGGTTTACGACGACATTGGATTACACAGATTCAAAAAGTATTTACACACTCCCAGTTTAGTTTGGCTAATCTTGTTTTTGTTCTCAAAATATGTTAGTTCTAATAACGGAAGAAACTGGATCTTGCATCCTAAATCTTTCCAACTCGATGAACCTTTCAAATGTTGACTAATTTATAGTTTAAAATATGAAACCGGTGTCCACCATTGAATGTTAAACAAATATAGGGATTAGAAAATTAAAGAAAAGGAAAATAATCTCCCGAATAAGTATTGATCTTATGCAGATCTAATGATTGAATATGAATCCAATCCCTATTCGATATCACATAGTAAACATACCTCTCAAGGCATAACTTTAATTAAGTGATTTAGCAATAGTCCTCAAATTTAAACGTGCTCACATGAATATTCAGTTCAAGTTAACGATACTCAGCACAATTAGGTTCATTCTTTCGATCATTTTTGTGAATTTTTTTTATTTTTTAAATCTGATTTTATTTTCTAGTTCTCTTGTTCCCGGTGCGGGCAGTATTCCAGATCCATTCATTATTCAGAAATCCAAACTACTCAACAAGGAAAACAATTATTTATTAAATATTCATTCAACATCGACACTCATCAACAATTAGAACGAAAACAGAGTTCGGAACTGTTGTTTAGTCAATCACTTGTACATTGAGAGATTGCGAAATTTAAAAACAGCTGTTTTCGCGGATTTAGCATTAAGCAAGTACTTAAACACTTCATTTAAAAGTTTCCACTGTGGTTATAGCTATCCTCATGCGTATCAGCGCCTTATGAAGCAAAAGTTACAACCTTTGAAAAAAACTTTTCTATTTTGATTTTTTGTTGTATAAAGAGGGTAGCTCTGAATGTGGGAGGCGTGAGACATGAAGTTATGTGGAAGATGTTGGAACAGGTTGGTAAAAAAATATTTTAAATTTTTTTTATTACAAGCTTTTAATTTCAGTGTCGTATTTTCTTTACTTTTTTAGATTCCAAACAGTCGACTGGGTAAACTGTCGAAAGCAAATACACATGCTGAGATAATGACTCTTTGCTCTGACTACTCACTCGTCGACAATGAGTATTTTTTCGACAGGTAATGGATTGGAGAAAGGTTTAAAGGGGCCCTCCATTTAAAGATGACAATGCCCGATTCACAACGGTACCCTTGAAACCTTTATCTGATTAAGTATGTGAAAGATATTGTCGTTTTTCAGATAATTCTAATATGTCTTCCTTAGGTTGAAATGCGCAACTCACGTTTGAGAAACCATGATTGAAAATAATCCGTTTTCAAAATTATAAACATTGATATCTAATTCATACTTTATCAGAAAAAGATAAAGGATTTTTAATGGAGGGTTTATTAGATTTAAACAATTTAAATTATGACACCATTTTTGTAGTAAAGAATTTAAGATTTTTGAGACTTCAAATAGATTTTAACAGTTTTGGCCTGACAATTTTAAGACAACTAAATATTCTTTTTAATATGCATGAAGTTCCATAGTTAAATATATCATAATCCTTCTGCTAAAAAGCTCTATTACTGGTTTAATGGAATACGCATTTAAAGGATTGTAAGTGTAATTTCAAGCGATATTCAAGTGACCCGACCAATTCACAACGGTTCCTCATAACAGCCTTTTCTGTTCAAGCACGAAATAGATATCAATGTTTAAAACATTAAAAACTGATACATTTTAACCGTAGCTTACGCATTTCTAAACTTTACTGCAGAAAACCATATACAAATATTTTAAAACTATATAATAAAACAAGACATTCGTATATATATATTAATATAAAATGGCTATAGTCGGCCAAACGGCTGGACAGAATGTTCTTAAATTTTTTGTGGACACTCATGGGTGGCCGTGGGATGTTTTAGCCTAATAAATTGATTCTTCTAACCCAAAATTTGTTATTTTTTTACTTTTTTCAATTTTTTGTCTTTCAAATTTTTCCATGGGCAATGCAGGTCCCTTCAACTAGTATTAAATAATTTTAAACATGGAAAAACGACAGTATCTCCACATTATAGATCAGATAAAGTTTTCCAAGGTACCAATGTGAATCGGGCGTTGCCAATTTTGCATGAAGGGTCACTTCAAATTACGTTTAAAGTCCCTTTCATTCATTGTTATTGTTTGATTAGACATCCTCGATCCTTCAATTCTATTCTTAACTTCTACAGAACTGGAAAACTTCATGTACAAGATGAAATGTGTGTTCTAGCATTCAGGTCAGTCAACTGTACAGTTAGAACCAGAAACAAAGGAATAGAAAGATGTCATTAGAGCAATCTATATACAATATATATAATATAAATCTATGTACAATGTATATAATATAAATCTTTATACAGGGTTCCCTAGAAAGGATGCGACTTTAAAGACGACCTAAAAGTCAAATAATGCAACGATTCATATGTTAAATTAAGTCTTCTATATATAATCTTTTAATGCATTTTTTAATGATTTGGCAAAGAATGAAAGAAGATTACAGTTGCATGGAGTCATCAACATAGGGAAACAGAGCTGGGAACTTTAGAATGGTGGATATAGAGATTAATGCTTAATCCTCTATTTTTCTTAATCTCGAGACTAACTTAATCTTGTATTTGTATCCTAAAAAGTGTATAAAATTCAACCAATCAGTCACGTATAAGAAGCCGATAAATTTGAAATTTTGCGCGCCATATAAGATTAATATAATTAATATACAGAAACGGGAAGGACTCTCAATTTTAAAAAACCGGTTTTTGATTTTTCTCTACTTTACCCAAAAAAGAGTGGATTAAGCAAGAAATCTAAAGTTACCACATTGATTCTTCGGATTAAGCAGTCGGGATTAATGGTATCCCATTCTAAAGTTCCCATCTCAGATAGTATACATTTCACAGTCTTCTCTGAAGTCACATTCTTGTTGGGTAACCTTGTCTATATTTTGCTTGTCTGTTTGTTTGTTTGTATCCCATAAATATCAAAACGGTTGAACCGATCGGGCCCATATTTCGTGTGGGACTACACATGTCCCCAGCGAAGGTTTATAGGTGATCAAAATTTCAAAAATTTGCTTCCAACAAAATTCATTTTTCATTAAATCTTTAAAATCCTTTTTTTGTTTTGTTTTACACTATTATATAAGTGTATACAAAGAGAACATGTTCACAACTAAAATAGAATATGGGCGCGAAGCGTACTAAAAGCCTAATGCTTAGATAATTGTTGTTACAAAGCAAATAGTTATATTAGATACTAATTAAGAAATGGGTCTGTTTAAATTGCTTTATTGCTGTGTCTCATGTTCATTGACTATTTACTTGAGTCTAAAAGTCGTCTTCCTATTTCAAAGTTTTCTAGTTCTCATTGTACATGTTACAAAATTGTGTTCAACACATAAAAGATGTTTACTTTGAGCAGTTAAACATATGCTCTAGTATGAAACTAGAATCTGACTAATCAAAAACAGCTTTTAAAATGGTAGTAAGATTAAGATTGATATGTGATATCTATAATCTTTCCTATTAATATTTGACATCTACATTTAGGGATGATCTTGAGTACTGGTGGATAGATGAAGCATATCTAGAGTCATGCTGCCAGGTCCGTACAGTGTACAGTGTACTGTACACTGTATAATTCATCCATAAACGAACGTGATATCACGATCGTTTTTCCATTTTTAAAGTTAAAGTTAAAAAAGCAAATTTTAAAATAATACAGGTTTAAAATCTTGGAATTTTTAATAAATAAAAGACTTAACTTAAAACTATAGGGTCAATTTGAATTCGAACTGGACCGACGTGACCCCTTGTGCCTAAGTAACACGTGGCAGGTACCTCCCTGCCCCTAACCGGTCCGGTTTCAACTTTGATGGCGCGGCCAGACCTTTTACAGTACCTATTTTACCTACCCGATTAGCTTAGTTTAGTGTGATCACGGAAAACTCCAATTCATTTCAAGTATCGGACCGTCTTTTAGCACATGTACAGCCTCAAAGTACATATAACAAATCATCCCCTGCTAGTGAGATTAATGTTTATTATTAATAATAATGCTGTATCCTAGGCTAAGTATGACAAGAAGAAGGAGGCAGTCCTCGAAGAGATGGAAATTGAAGCAAGCAAGCTGGAAAAAGATGTCGAAGATGACTTTGGGAACGGAAAATTTGCGGTGGTAAGAGGAATAATAAAGTTCGTCTCCATCCGAGCAGATAAACAATATAAACAAATATAAAATTTAATCTGATCCAAATTTTGAAAAAAAATTAGCTAAGTAAACACCCTTATTTATAAAGTATTCTTAATTGTTATTTCTTCTTATGTTTTATTTTTCTTCTAACTTTTCTTGCTAAAAACGGGAATAGCAAATTGCTGGGTTGAAACCGATTAAGATTAAATAATTTTTACATGCTTTTAACTAAATGCATTTTTGTTTGTTTTCTTATAACATACCATACAGAACCTTTTTTTTTTTGCATCAATCTTAAACAAATGAAATCTCTACTCTAAAATGAAAATTTTTGGTGATTAATTTCAATTTAAGTTAAGAGACATTGATATTTTAGTATCATAAATGTTTATAATCTATTTATAACACTGTTATTTTGGTTCGCAGTGTTACAAAGTTTTTAGACAGAAATTTTCTCTTTATCGAGAAGATTCAAGCCTTTTTAGATTTAATTTTTTCCCGAGCTTTAAAGAGGGACAACATATAATCTAAATTGGCGAGAACCTTCGAGATATAGAGAAAATTTAAGTCCAAAAACTTTATAGCACGTCGACGTGCCAAAATAATAGTGTGAAAGATAATTTTATGAAACGTTTGTGTATTTGTCCTATTTCAATGGCTATTTCTTAATCAAATAAACTTTGAAACAAAGCAGAAGTCAAAATATAAAGTTGATTTTATTTTCATTTCAATTGAAAAAAAATATTTTTGGAATATCCTAATTTTTTCGGAGAAAATCCGGGAACCTATCAAAACATTAAAGCACACGAGCTATAATGTAAAGCTAATATAACTTTATAGCATGATTATTTTATAGCATTAAATTCACGATGAAGTGAGTTAGAATGATAAAGTACACAATAGTTTCATAAATAGTTACTTTATTTTAGTATCAGAAATGTTTATAATTAATTTCTATTTTAGTATCAGAAATGTTTATAATTAATTTCTATTTTAGTATCAGAAATGTTTATAATTAATTTCTATTTTAGTATCAGAAATGTTTATAATTAATTTCTATTTTAGTATCAGAAATGTTTATAATTAATTTCTATTTTAGTATCAGAAATGTTTATAATTAATTTCTATTTTAGTATCAGAAATGTTTATAATTAGTTTATATTTTAGTATCAGAAATGTTTATAATTAGTTTATATTTTAGTATCAGAAATGTCTATAATTAGTTTATATTTTAGTATCAGAAATGTTTATAATTAGTTTATATTTTAGTATCAGAAATGTTTATGGGATCTGATGGAAAAACCAGATACATCTTTAGCTGCTAAGGTTTGTGTACAATGTACAATGTGCAGGATAACCACAAAGGATGAGACGGTTAAAAACCCTTCAAATACAACGATTTTAAGTTTTAAACACATTTTCTGCCTTGAATGTAGTCTTTGAATGATTATTTTATAATAAAGAATAGATAAAATAGTTGTAGAGAATCATGAATATAAGGAAACAGACTGTTTGAATTCCGTACAGTCGTCTCTGAAATCTTTTACTTTGTGGATAACCCTGTACATAGTTACTAAATACTACATATTTATACGGAAAAACGTTTGCAATTTTTCAGAGCTAACTAACATTTGTTTTAGAAAAAACAACTTGTTAAAATCGTTTTGAAGCAAAAACTATTCGAAGCGAGGTTTTAGATTCCTATCTTTTATCAAAATATGTTATGTATTTGTCTTGTTTATTCCAAAACAATCGTTTTCAAAATATTTTTTTTTCCATTCCAAAACGATCATTTCAAAACTATTGATTCGATCTAAAACGATCGTTTTAATTTCAAAACAATCGTTTTAATTTCAAAACGATCGTTTTCATTTTAAACGACCTTTTCCCATTTTTGAAAACGATCGTTATGTTTTTTCTTCAATACAACTCTCATAACTTAGTTTCATCCCTTTCAAAAACGATCGTTTTCAAAACGATCGTTTCGTTTTCATTTTCTTATTCATCGTTAACGAAACGAAACAAAGGTTGTTTAAAAAAGTCAAAACTGTAGATTGGAAAAATTCCCTTAACAAACGAAAAGAATAGTTTCGTTAAAACGAACAGTTACATTAATTAATTTTACCGCTTGAAATAAATTTACAACATGGCCAGTTGCCTATAAAGAATAAGAATAAAATTTGTTTGCCGAATAACTTTATTTTAAAATTAATATTTTTATTTAGGCGGTTTCTTTCATAAGTTTTATATTTGTTGTTGTATCAACTGTAGGCATGATTCTAAACACACTCCCTGCTGTTCAATCAAAGGTACTTTTTCTGTTAACTGTTATCTGTTATCTAACGTTCCATCTGTTGTTGTTGGTCTGTAGTCCATTGTCTTATGTTCTTTCGAATATTTGAATCAAAACAAACAATTTAAAATTGATAGATTTCAATCTAAGTATCAATTAAACCTTTTAATGAAATTTATAAGACTTCTAATATTTAACAGTGTGCTCGCAGAATTAAATAACAGGAATTAAAAGTTTGATTTATTGACATATAATATTTGCAAGTTAAACATTCGACAAAATTGGAACAAGTATGAAAGGTGCATAAAAATACATAAGTTTAAAACTAGCCCAGTTATAAGGAAAATTTTACAAGTATAAAAATATGCATAAGAATGTTAAGTTAAAACTAGCTAAGTTTATAAGGAAAATTTTACAAGTATAAAAAGATGCATAAAAATGTTAAGTTAAAACTAGCCCAGTTTATAAGGAAAATTTTACAAGTATAAAAATATGCATAAGAATGTTAAGTTAAAATCTACTCCTACTCCTACTCCTACTCCTACTCCTACTACTCCTACTCCTGTTTACTACTAGGATTTGAATGGCAAGGCACTGGATAACCCTCTTTTAGCTCTGGTTGAAGCTATCTGTATATTCTGGTTCACTTTGGAGTATTTGCTCAGGTATCTTGTATTTGCATATTTAGGGTATACAGGGGGACCCACAAAGAGTGCGACTTTAGAGACGATATAATACAGTCTGTGTTCCTCTAACAGCTGTAAGTTTATTTATAGTTCTTTGTCAAATCATTAAAAAAGCCATTGCACGACAATATTCAAGACAGAACATGGAAATCATCATGTTTACAGAGTTTTAGGTCGTCTTTACAGTCTCATTTTTGTTTTTTCTTTGTATTATGAAATGTACAAGGGATTATGAAATAATTATTTTGTGACTGTTAAACATGATATATTAAAGTTTATGGTAAATATACTGTGACCTTGTTGCATATTGCAACATTCCCAGCTTCAGTTCTAGTTATTTCACTGTTTTGTGGATAATGTTGTAATTTAAACATAATATTTCATGGTATTTCTTTAATACCAATAATTTTATTCTATGGAAAAAAACCTAAGCAATGTAAACCCAGAATACAGTAATAACCAAAAATTCGTTAAAGATGAAGACGACATTATGTGAGCAATGTGTATTTGATGTTGTTTCAAGGCAAATTGTTGGCTCTTAAAGTCGTCTTCCAATATCAGAGATTTCTGGTTTCAACTTTGTCAAATCAAAATATAATTTTTTAGCGTGATTAATAATCATCAGATTCGATAAAGGGCGGACACTAAAATATATATTTTTTAAACCAAGAATATAATTTCGTAGATTTGCTGGAGCCCCGCAGAAGTTTGAGTTCCTATTGGACGGAATGAATATTGTAGATTTACTCGCTATTCTACCCTTCTATGTATCTCTATTCCTTGCACCCCCTCCTGTCTCCAACCTACCCTACAACACCTTCTCAAGCACCCCCGGGACCCCCGGGAGTGATGCGTATGACGCATTCTCAGGTTCCACGGCGCAGACTGACGCTTTACAAGAAATAACGCCAACAAGTCAGGTAGCAGAAAATTACATTTTCAATTAAAAAAAAATTCTGAGAGAGATTTTTTTAGTTATTCAAAAAAATTGCACCGTAGAGCTTATGATTAGGAAAATCAAAACCTAGATTTTTTTTTCAAAAGTCAGCAGTAATTACTTGCACTGCAATCCGCATTCTATCCTATAGTTAGTTAGTGTACACCTTAATTTTTTAACGGACTTTTTAGAACGTTTGTAGAACGTTTAAAAAAACATTACAGGCAGAAAACGGGTAGTTTTAAAAAAAAAGTTTTATTGGGTAGCACTAAATTTTTTGTTGGTGTATGGGTTTATGTTACTTATAAAAACAAAACTTAAAGGAGTGTCTCAGAAAAATATATTTTAGGTTAACCCTAAAAAGTCATATTTGTAATTGTAAGATCACTTTCATTTTAGCCAACTCTCCCTTTAATGAATAATTGATTTCTAGGTTGCTGAGGAGCAGGGAGGATTTGATGATGTTCTTCAAGTTTTTAGAATGTTTAAACTCACTCGGTAATTCTTCTGATACAACAAAAATAAAAAATAAAAACATATTTTTTTATTTTATTTTAGTCCAGGAATTGAGTCTTTGCAACAAACTCTGATTGTCTAATCCATATATCTTTGCAGCCCAATGTCGTAAACTTATTTCAAATTATAAATTCTGGTAATTCAAATAATCTATGTTTGAAATATCAAAGGTTTACACAATCAGGTTGCAAAGATATAAAGATGATAAACTTAAAATCTGTTTCTTAGAATCTTTAAGCTGGCCCGACATTCTACCGGACTTCAATCAATTGTGTTTACACTTAAAAACAGTTACAAGGTGAGCAAAAAGTAAAAATAGAACAACATCAATGCCCTGAACCTGTTGAATATTTAGAAATTGTGTGCCTATCTTGAATTTTCGTTTAGCTGAGTTCAAAATTTATGAAGGAGAGAGATGTGGTTAAGGCTACTTTAGGCTATTTAAGGCTGATTCAACACTTTACCTCGTTCACCAAAATCACCCAGCAGCTAAAGAAATATTTGAACCAGGCATAGATAGATAAACGTCATTTTGTCATTTTCTAACTTTTTCAAGAGAAACTAGCCTTGTGAACTATTTAAAAATGAAAATATTAATTCATTTATTCTCTTTTAATAGTTGACTTTGCAAAAGTTGGATTAAAAGAGATTAACATTCAATTCATATAGTGCTCATTTTCACAATCATTTTTGTGACAAACTGTTTAAGATCCTCTGCCCTCCTTAGTCCAACCTCTATTACCTCTTCATGGTTAGTATCAATATCAGATCCATACTCAACTATACACTTGTTAGTGATCAAACTACAGGCAAACACCTAGATTCAAGTAGTAGATACAGGGGGATCCAATCAGGACAAGAAGGGACCGTAAATGTATTTTTAAGTGACCCCCCCCCCTTGCAAAGATGACAAAGCCAGATTTATAACGGTTCACTTGAAAACTTCGCTTGATCAATTATGAATTCGATAGTAGATACCAATGATATTTTTCATTTTCCTTTTCTTTGCAAAATTAAATGCGCATTCCTGTAATCAAGAAGCAATGGAGAAACTCACAGAAAAACAACGGTATCCTCCACATTGAATTGGGTACCATTGTAAATTGCCATCTTGCATTAAGAGTCAATTGAAATCATGCTTATAGTAATGACGACCTGTAACTCTTAGATTATAATGATCTAAAGATTCAATTTGGGGTTTAGCATAAAATGTTTGGTAAAAAAAAAAACAAATTTCCATCTGTATCTACTTTGTGCCTTTATTCCACAGTGATGAGCTACAATAGTTTCTGGAAGTGTACTCATACCAACACTGTCCACACCCATCTTCCTAACCAATGAGAATAGAGTTTAGGAGAGGAGTTGTAGACACTTTACTGTCACGTATTAGGACAGTTAAAGAACTTGTATTGAAGGAAAATAATTGTAACGCAATTACTTTTTTTCAACTGGCATTTGATTAAAAACTAGTTCATGTGCTGTCCCCACGGTGATCTAGCCAGGCTGCATTTGTTGCATAACACGGGCTGGGTCAACCGTACACCGGTAGCTGCAGACTGGACTGTACAGTGCTACACACGTACAACACGTACTTTACGTGTTGCACCGGCACGGATCATGCAACTTTTAAACTGTTGTGTCCTAATACATCAAAGTAAAATGTAAACAAACTCTCCTTACTTCTATTCTAATTGCACCTAAGCATCTTAAGTTCTGCTACAGTCTCATAATTAGGTCCTCCCAACATTGCGTAAACACCTTCTCTCATCACTCCTTCATTCACGTAATTTTAAGTGATTTTACATAAAAAAAAAGAAGGGCATGCACAATTCACAAAAGTACACTTTACACCTTTACATGAGTTAAAATGAGAAGTATTTCGTCTTTATTTCTATATCTAATTGGAAAATATTCTTTCCATCTAAATTCGTGTCCTTGGCGCATAAATACGAAGGACACTATTCAAAAAAATGGGCATTTTTAGACAGACAGATTCTTTTCATTACATTGGGATTTTGGCATGCCTCTCTTTATAAATTACAAAGACAGTTCCTTGAAGCCCCAACTCTTGTCCAACCTGTCTTGCTAACTGCCTGTACTCATGACAGTACAAATCATTTGTTGGGAAAAACCTAGGTCCAAATCTCTCATCGTTAGGTCCTCTTAGGGGGTTCTGACAGGAGAAACCTGGAAGGTTAATGTGATCTTTAATGAACATTATATCCCCAACTTGGAAACCTTTGTTTAGTCCTCCTCCTGCGTTTGTGACAATGATCTTCTGAACTCCGAGTAGTTTCATCACTCTGACCGGCATAGCCGTCTTCCAGAGTTCATAGCCTTCATATGCGTGGAATCGACCCTGCATGATAATAACGGGAACCTTCTCAAGATTACCAAGGAGTAACCTACCAACATGCCCGGGCACTGTCGACACAGGAAAGTTTGGAATCTGATTATATGGAAATATATCTGGTTTGTCGACCAGATCTGCTAATCCTCCCAGACCAGATCCACAGATTATTCCAATTTCGGGTCGATATTTTGTTCTTGTTTGGATAAATTCAGCTGATACAGCCACCACATCATATGACATCGGATCCATATTAGATTCTAAAAAATAGATTCTTTTTGTTTTAAATTTATAAAGAAAATTAAGATTATCTTACCAACACAAGCGGAATTAGTATGATTGTTATTGTCTGCCATTTTAGGAAAAAAATAGTATTTGTAATTAAAAACAAAAATTTTATGTTTAGAGGATTTTTGCAATTTATTTCGAAGATTTCTACACATCTCAAAACATGTGAATCATTTATTTTTGTTTTAAATTCTCTGCTGATTTAAACTATTTTTAAAAAATATCTTTTTAAGCTTCATATATTTGAAAATCTTAATTGTTCTAGGCTTTTATAATGTTCATTTTTTTTTTTTATTATTATTGTTTCATAATGTGTTGTGTTATCATAATATTCAGGAATTAGAAATATTAGTCCTATTTATTAGTATTGCTTATCTCCTGTTTCCTATTATTATAATATTCAGGAATTAGAAATGCTGGTCCTGTATATTAGTATATTGCTGATCTCCTGTTTCCTATTTTCATGATATTCAGGAATTAGAAATGTTGGTCTTATATATCAGTATATTGCTGATCTCCTGTTTCCTATTATTAAATATTCAGAAATTAGGACTGTTAGTCTTATTTATCAGTATTGCTGGTCTCCTGTTTCCTATTATTAAATATTCAGGAATTAGGACTGTTAGTCTCCTATTTATTAGTATTGCTGATCCTTTAGGATTGTTAGTCCTGTTTATCAGTATTGCTGATCTCCTGTTTCCTATTATTATAATATTCAGGAGTTAGGATTGTTAGTCCTGTTTATCAGTATTGCTGGTCTCCTGTTTTCAAGCCTCTGCTATTTTGTTGAACGAGAAGAAGTAGAAACTAAATACACGAGGTAGTTTTTGTAATTTTGTATGTTAACTAAAAGCAGTTTTTCTTAATTATATTTTTTGCGTAATTTCAAATGACCTCACATTTAAAGAGGTAAATTCTCGATTTACAACGGTACACTTTACACCTTTTAAAGAGCTTTCCTTGACACTTTAACAAAAACAAAAAGTTTTAATATTTTTTTCTTTTATATATATTTATATATATAAAATACATATATTTTGTTTTGTTTACCAAATAATACGTCGAATATTTTGATAAGTATACCGAACGTTTTGTTAACTATACCGAATGTTTTTTTTAATTATTCCAAATATTTTTTCAGTATACCGAATATTCTGTTCAGTACACTGAATATTTGTTTATAGTATAATACCGAATAATTTTTTTAACATACCGAACGTTTTGCTAAGTATACCGAATATCTGTTAATTATACCGAATATCTGTTAATTAAACCGAATATCTGTTAATTGTACCGAATATCTGTTAATTACCGAATATTTTTTTAATTATTCCAAATATTTTGTTAAGTATACCGAAAATTCTGTTCAGTACTCCGAATATTTAACGAACGTTTTGTTAAATATACCGAAAGTTTTGTTAAATTTGCCGAATATTTTTTTAAGTATACCGAATATTTTTTAATTACACCGCTTGTTTTTCTACTTATGCCGAATATTTTGTGAAGTATACAGAATATTCTGCTGAGTATACAGAACATTTTTTTAAATACACCGAATATTTTGTTAACCCTATTCCTGCTGGGTGATCTCCAAGCCTCTGGATTTGTGAATGAGGAATGAGTATTTAATATGACGTGGCGACTGGCGCTACCCCTATACGTTAAAATAGATGTAATAAATGTAGTAGTAAAACCCACTTTTGTAAACCTGAACATACCTATATATAGTATAGTATATGATTCATAACTTTTACCCTTACTGCCTTCGTATAATTTCTGATCCGTCCTTATCCTTACCATTAATTACAATATAATTTAATTACGTTCCTTAATTTAACCTGTACCATAAAACCAAAATATACATTAGTTAGAATCAGAACTCAAGATTACAGTATTAGAGTAATTGTTTCTCATGTAGCAAGCGAGTTGGACTTGAGTAGTTTCTGGATTGAATACAGACTGAGTATTATTGATCGAGCGAGTTGTATCTGTAGGATACACATTGAGTATACAGCTGGTCATACCTGGATTGGCACAGACTTAAGAGAATTTATCGGAGTGAGGCATTTACTACAGAGATATTATTGAAGTCATGTACAGCGAAACCCTTCCAAACGAATACATCGAAAGAATTCATCAAATGTCGTATTATTCACTTTCTGATAATGGAATGTTGCAGATATTTAGTTTTTTAATTAAATGATTATATGAAACCCTTTAAAACTGTTTCCGCATATTCATGCATGGCTATCTATTTATTTTCGCAAATACTGAAATTTACGAAATTTAGTATAAAACTCATTGAAAAATTGTCAAGACGACATTTGACAAATTCTTCCGATGTATGCGTTATTAAAGGTTTCACTGTATAAAAAAATTAGAAAAAATATTTAATATTTTAATAGTTATGCAAAGTGTTTTCCAATATGTTTCCAATATTAAAAAACTGTTATTTATTACTTCTATAATATCTGTTTATAATATCTAACGTTTAGGGGTAGCCCCAGGTCATTGTAAATGGTCATCTGGGAATACAGAGGCTTGGAGACCATTTTTCGGGGCTCATGGCGGCCCTGCATCCCCTCCCTTTGCTTATAAGACACAGATTCAGCGCATTAGAAAATTAGATGTTTAGAAAATGAAGATTTTAAAAGATTTAAAAAGTTTACAAATCTTTTTAAATACAAAACAAAATATGTCGCCCTTAATGTGTTTTTAAGGGTTGTTATTAGGTAATTGAAATCAAAATAAAACCATGAAGCGACCTAAACACACTCCATGCTGGACAGAAGGAGAAGGTCAACTTTATGTGATATTACTGGTAATACTGGTAATTGCAACCTCGTAGCTCATCTAGTTTTCATTTTACGCGGAAGCAAAAGGAATGCTAAATTATTAGTTAACATACATGAAAATCAAAACGTTTTAGTTCTTATCAATTCAATATCTCTTCAATAAGTGGAATTCTTTTTTCTATAACAGATTATTTGCCTGTCTGTTTATGACAATAAATTTTTAAACGGCTGAACTGATCGGATGGTTAAAAGTGGACAAATTTACATGGAAAAAATGTCGATTTTTACGATTTTTATCAACCTATCGATGTCTGCAGAAAAATCCGAAAAATATTGAGTTATGAAATTTCGGAAAAAAACAATCAAAAGCTTAAATTATGAATTTAAAATCTCTTCAACTAGTAACTCAAACTGATCTTTTAGGTTTAAAAAACGTAGAGTCTGCTGTACTATATCGCACCTTCTCCCAAAAGCTTAGATTGCGCCTCAAAATTTCATGAACTCTACTGTGTTTATATTTGCTCATCTCTCTCTCTCCCCATCTATATATGTAGTCTTCATAATTTTATCCAAATACAAGATATAAGCTCTAATTCTCACACTCTTAAACTAATCTCCCACCCTCTCTCCTCCTCACTACCCTCCCCTCCTCTTAGTTAAGATAAGATTCAAACATGAAAATTGATAATTTATTAATAGATATTTAAGCATGAATCATTTAATTACAAATCACAGCCGAGTATAATTAATTCATTGATTAATTACAGATGGTTTATAACAGGTTGAATATTTCTCAGAATGTATTTAGATAGTTCAACGAAATATGGATGGAGGGGGGGATCATCAGTGTGAATATTTCTTGTAAGCAACTATTAATCACTCTCATCTTCACGACTTCATTTGACAGCAATGTTCTAACTTCGATCACTGGAATTACGGTGTAGAATATAGTTTACAGTGTACTGCATCATATAGGATAGAGTTAACGATGTACTGCATGATCTAGGATAGAGTTAACAGTGTACTGCATGATCTAGGGTATAGTTTACAGTGTACTGCATGATCTAAGATACAGTTTACTGTGTACTGCATGATCTAGGATAGAGTTAACGATGTACTGCATGATCTAGGATAGAGTTTACAGTGTACTGCATGATCTAGGGTATAGTTTACAGTGTACTGCATGATCCAGGATAGAGTTTACGGTGTACTGCATGATCTAGGATACAGTTTACAGTGTACTGCATTATCTGAAGAGTTTACAGTGTACTGCATGATCCAGGATAGAGTTTACAGTGTACTGCATAAAACATTGTTTCATCATTTAGAATATTTTCTTTGATATCGTTCCCTCCGTCCAACTCTACCAGGTTCATCTCTCCTGAGTCCTCGTACTGGGAGTAGCTCAGGGTAATCTCCGTCTCCGGATGAGAAACTAATCTCAGGGGCTCCAGGTGGGAATGAAACTGTGGAACCTGCTCCAAAGGAACCTGGAGCAAAACTTCGGAAATGTAGCCCACTGTTACATCATCTGGGAGACGAATTTCGTCGGCCAACTTTTGAAACTGGCCGTTGTCAATCCAGGGACGCATTTTCTCAGCCATGGATCTAGAGAGACAGAATCCGGCTCCGCCTGTGGCAAACCAGAATCTAACCTTTCTCTGAGTTGGGAGAACAAGCCTGTCCAATATCTCTAAGGGTTGAGGGATTGAAACCTTTCCCAGATACCAATCCTTCTCCGGAGTATATTTAGCTAGAATTTTAACTAAACTTCTTGCATTGAGATAATTATCATCATCAACGTGACAAAACCAACTTTTTTCCGACTTCAGGAACTCAGTGAGCTCTGCCTCCATCTTGCAGCTCAGTGCTGTCCTGCTGTGGTCAGCAGGACAACCTGTATTGATGAGATGTCCTCCAGTCCTCAGGTTCAGCTCAGGGTCCTCGGAATCAGTGAAGAACCAGGTTTGCTCCGGAGCAGTTTGAAACCATGTCTCCAGGATCGGAGTAAGTCGGGTTTTATGAAATTTTCCCGAAGTTTTCACTGATATAAAAACATCCTCTAGTCTCAGGGATACAGGATATGCACTGGACAGTTGGGCGATGAATAGAACAGATAAAACTAATGATATTTCCATGATTTGTTATTATAGAACTTCAAGAGAGAACTTGGTCACATCCTTTCTGTTCGAAGGTTTTGGTAAAACTGAGAGAGACTGAGAAAGGTCG